GACTTGCATGGGTAGAGAAGTGAGCATTCTTTTTTTTTCTTGAACTTTTCTTATCACTATCACCATTGGGCCTAGAGTGATAACCTGCTTCCATCACCAATTTATACTTTATCAGAGACCTTTAGGGATTATTTTAACATTACAACCCCAACTCAGGGAGCAGTCAGAGCCCTCCTCCACCCCCAAGTGTCCCCTTTCCCCTCCTTTTATTTGCATTTATCAGTTTTTGGATACATAAAAGTAAAAAATAGCAGCTGAAACTTTTGTTTTGTTGTTGGAGTTACTGAAATGAGAAAACCTGAATCGGGCTGGTATTGTTTCTGGCTGGTTTGCTTGGGTTTCACTGTTTGGCACTGTTTGTTTGCCTGCTTGTTTAAACTTCCTAGACAAACACGCTAATATCTGGAACAACTGTAAATTTTAATGAGGAGGCAGCATTACCAACTTTTCAAAAGTGTGGTCTTGATAATTTCTTAGAAAACTTTGCCATTTACAGGCAAGCAAGCCAGGTTTATCATCTTAGTCATACATAGGTCTGTGTATTTCTGAGTCAGAACATCTCCTGAGAGCAGAGGATAAGTGGCTTCTGCCATGAACTATTGATTTGGGAACAGAGTGGCTGACATGTGCAAAGCCAAGACAAGATTTGAAAAAAATAAAAAATGAAAGGAAAAGGGGAAGAATCTCCCATCCTACATGAAACAAGTTGTTCATCTTTTTTCTACATGGAAAACAACACGTGAGAACAGGATGCTCACCCAACGGCAAAGGGTGAAGAGCCATGTAGCTTGCTGAGCAGGAAATCTTTGCTGTCACTATCCTTCCTCCATAGTGACAAACATCAAGTTTTTACCAGGGTATGTTTCTGGACAAACCAATGAGTTCTGAAGCCAGAGCTGCTCTGTCCTGATGGGGAGAAAACAATGATTATTACTCTTCCGATTTCTTGTAACCATGAACAGTGACCCAGAAAATGAGTGATTTGCTTTAGATCTGAAGCAGAGATGAGAGCCCCCTCCTCACCGTCATATTATATAGCTTTCCTTCAGCTGCATGCTGTCCTTCTGGATTAAGGATGGCTACCTGATAGGGTAGCAGTCATTTTACATAGAGATTAGGGATTATCTCAGTAAATTATCATGCATTTTACACAGAGCATGAAGAGGGAAATCAGTAGACAATATGCTGTAAATGCATATCTACACTTCATGGTCTCTGACTGAGTAAGCACGGTCCCAGAAATAACCACGAATACCACCTTCATCAAGAAAAGAGTGCTTGAGTTCACTGAATAAAGAGGTGCCAACTCTTACAAAGACTTCCGGAAAGCCCTGAATTTTCTCAGCCAAATCTTTCCCTGAAAAAAAAGGTGGAACTAGAAGAGCTTTTTGCTATCTGCCTCCATCTTCAAACACAAAGCTAAATACCAAATCAGTATTGCCTCTGACTCACTTTCAGGGCTGCCTTCTCCAAAACAAATTTACAATAGAGCCATACATGAAAAATGTAAACTATTTAAAAAGCAGTTAGAGAAATATACAAGTCTGAAAAGAATACTACCCTGCTACAGCAGCATCAGATGCAGCTCTTGAGGCTTCATAGAGAATTTGAGAAGTGCTTTAATTCATATTGCATCAAGAGCCCTCATCCATTTACTGCCTATCAATTGGATGCTTATGTGTCATTCGTTTTGACTTGCAGAATCCAGCCTTCTTTGGATTAATCATTTATTTGTGTTCCTGTAACTAAAATCTCAGCAAATGCTCTAAAGGTTAACTTCTTATTGCCTTACTTAAAGATGGAAAGACTTCAAAGTAAAATTATGCTAACAATTTTGGAAAGCTTTTCTTGTGTCATTGTGTCGGCCATGAGCCATCAGGCAGGTTACAGACGTCCGCCTCCAATTCTGCTCCTAGGTGACTTACTGTCATCAAAGTCTATTTCTATTTCTTGAACAAGATACATTAAGATCTAAGGTTGGAAGTCCTCCCTGCTGAACAGTCTCATCCTACTCTTTCCTACTGTTTCTCAGCTCCCACACAGCGTGTAAATAAATATGTATATATGCACAAGGGCTGTGCCTTGAGCCCAGCAGTTACCATATATGAAGGGCTGAGAGCATATCCAGTGGCAACTGAAGAGTTTGAATGCAGATTTCCATCCCTCTTCATACAGGATAAACCATTTTCCAGAGGCTTAGAACTTGGCCAAGTTGAGACCTATGTCCTAAGCTAATGTCTTTATAAGACAATTTCTCAGTGGTTCAAACCAGAAAGGTGCCAGGTCTTAACAGAATGTTTTCCAGAATTTAGCACATGCAGGTTAATGCATCTGCCTTTGTTTCACCCTTAGAAATAGCTGACCCATTAAAAAAAGAAGAGAACAACCAACCCACCCCCAAATCTGGGACAAATAGGTCACCCTGAGAAAACTGAAGCTCTACTAGGTAGTTCGGGAAGCAATAAAAACCCCACCTTGTCTCATGTTGGAAAGTGCCTGGCACCTTTATTTAATTTGATTATCTATTCCATCTGCAAGAACAGAGTGTGAATAGTAAAGAGAAGACTATGTAATAACCAAAAGAGCTGTTACGTAGAGCATATTCTCAGCTGCGGAATGAAAGCATGCTTTGTATTTCTAAATTGTGTTGTACAACTGGAAAGCCAAGGTGCCATGTCCCACATATTTGGGGATAGCATCTCCTGGTTATTAAACTGTACAAGGATTCTAAATGAAGAAAGAAAAACGAAAAAACCCCAAAGCACTCAGAACTTTTCACTTCAACATCTCAGGAAACATCTTTGTACTTCTTTCAACTAGAAGAAATGTAGAAGGCTACTCATGAGATCCAGTTCTCTGACTTACTAACTTTAAAAGATAACAATATTCCTACTCAAAAATACTTGATCTTGGTCTGATAAAATGCTGTATTTCTCCCATCCAACACATCTACCTACATATTTTTCTTCAACAATCTTTTAGTTTAATATTTTCACCCTTTTACCCAGATTCATCCGTATTCCTCTCCACCCCTGCAAGATGACCACCTCACTCTTCCATTCTCCAGTGAGATTCCTATGTGGCTGGCTGACCTTGCAACCCCTAATAAGATGAGCAGACAGGTATGTTATTCTGTTGTCTGCATATGTGGGCACTGCACCGTGAAGAGTTTGAAATAAATTCTCAGTGCTCCCTGAACTATTTAATATTCCAGTCAAGCCAAAATGTGTGTGCTTGAAAGTATACAGAAAAAAAAAACAGTTCCAGCAGAGTGGGATGAAGATTTGCTGTTAGCAATTCTAGTATTGTGAGGTGCCTGGTTCACAGCAACATGGCTTTTCCTGCCACCCACTTGCAATCCACCCTGTAAACGCAACCCACCGTCTGAACGTCGCTTGGTGTGGGCTCTGCCTGCTCTGCGCATCGGACAAAGCTTCCAGTCCTCGCTTCCAAGCTGGGTTGGTTTTGCTGGGCAAATAGGCACAAAATCTAGTATATCTCGCACATATGCAACTCTGAATACAGTTACATTGAGGCTGTGTTTTTATGGTCACTTTTCAAGTAGAAGTGCCATTTGAAAATATTAAAAGACCACATTATGAGTGTAACTGTAAGAGCAGAGTCAAAACAATGAAGACATTTTAAATGTTATATTAACTCAGTACTTTTCACCTCCAATGCGAGAGGGTAAGAAAAACATGTGTTGACCATCAGACAAAGCCCAAGTAACAACCAGAGTCAAACTCCATATATATTTACACAGGCATTAACTGACCTCCCTATGAAGGAAGATGAGAAACCTGCAGCTCAAAACATCTGCAAATTGTGTGACAGATAAACAGAAAAGGTCTTTCTTCAGATTTTATGGCAAAACAGTAATAATGTATAGGATGTATCTACATGCCTTTTTTTATAAAACTTTCTCAGAAAGCTAATGAGTTTCCTTTTGTTTCCTACAAAAGAAGGTGGGGGGGGAGGGGACACACGACAGAAAGCATTTGTTAAGAGTACAATATTCAAAGTTTTCAAGTTGTTATTTGAAAACAGAGTGTCCCACACTGACAGTTCAGGGTTTTTTGAACTGTTCAAAACAGCCCGGTGAATTCCTGTTGTTCCTGTGTAGGGATCTTCTCAGGCAAAATAAAAGGTTATTACTAAATTAATAGGACTGCAAGAACCCATCAGCACAAGTTTCCCCAGAACTCGTTTACAGAATGAATGGACAAATCAAAACCATAAAATCACCAGTATGTGTCAGCCTTCTACATTATCCATAGAACTAGGAGCTTTTAAGATGTGCCAGCCTCAGGCTTCTTGTTCCTTATGGCATGTGTGACATGAAAACAAGGGACTATCAAGCAACTATCATTACTGAAAACAGGGTATTTTAGGGATACTGGCATGACTAAAATGTAACTGCTGATCGGTGCCAATTAGCCAGAATAATCCTGTTAGCATTAGCTCAACTGTTCATTTGTAAATCTCTGCAACCCTAATTGTATTTGAAGTTCTTTCTAACACTAACTCCTTTTGTATGGTGGTGAAGCCTGCAAAACACTCATCAACTGAACAGCTGATTGAACAAGCAATCCTTTCTTAACCCTTTGCAAACTCAACCTTATAAAAGTAGTTCTGCATATTAACTATATGCACATACTGACTAAATTTGTACATCATGTTATTACACTTTACAATAAGCAGTATTCTCTTGCCATATCTTATACCTCTAAGATAAGTAACTAACCAAAAATAACCCTTTGTGATGGTTCTTTATCAAGCTTATACCTTAAATCACAACATGTATTCACCCATGAAAAATAGTGTTTGATTTTAACATATTGTTATTTAATTTGTGCAAGAAGAGCATTTTGGCAAAAAAATCATGGCTGAACCGCAAATAGCTGACAGTGCTCTTTGAATTCACTGGGTAGCCCTCGTCAGCTTTGGATGAGCTTTTTGATCAAATCAAAATGGAAAATACAAGAAAGATGCAAGGGAGATTTCATTAAATAAATTTATTTGTTAAAATAATTTAACTCCAAATACAACTGCTGAGTTTGCATTGAGTTCTATGTACAATTCTTGTTTTATCTGAAACATCAAGGTTTAAACAACTGACATTGTTACAAAACAAACTGTTGCCCCATTTTAAGTTGCCAGTTGTATTAGAGCTCAACAATTAACTGTGAAATACATTAATTCACCCCTAGGAAACTCCAAATCAACAGCGTTAAGCCTGATTCCAGAACCCACTGCATTCTTCCTTCAAACCCTGATCAAGAATTAACAGATGCACAACAATGCAGATAAAAGCCTCCTGCAGTTGTCAAACATTTGCTTTTGTTGCGGAGTTTCATAATTAAAGCCTAACCAGTGCTTTGACAGCACACCGGTAAAAAAAAAAAATAATAAAAGAAAATAAAAACCAAACATGCACAAAACCCCCCAACCAAATGGCTGACATCTTTAGGCAACATTCTATACAGGAAAGCAAATACCAGTAGTTTTCCCACAGAAAAGTAATGGCAACTGTAGCACTGGGATTAGGGAAAGGCTAGAACCAGAACAGAAAATGTCACCAAAATGTTTCTTGATGCTCTGAAGGGGAGGTGGGGGGACAGACACAATAGGAAAAAAACAAAAACCAAAATCCAATGCAATTATGTTTTATACTCTTGATCTAATTCCGGTTTGTTTGCTTTGACTAGTTTTTGTGTATTTTTAAGGGAAAGAGAAAACAGTTGCTCTCACTATCATAGCTTAAAAGAATAAAAGTTGTAACTTTAAAAAAAAAAAAAAAAAATCAAACCAACAAAACTGCAGAAATGCTGTCGTTGTAGAAAAGTACAAGAACAGCCAAAGGAAAAGTGGGTCTTTGGAACAAATCATAATATTTTTAAGGCATGTTATAAGAAACTTTCAAATACTAGAATTGGTAATCCTATCAGGGTACAAACGACACTATGACCCAAGACCAATGTCTCCTGCAGGGTGGCCACGCAGCGGCCGCATGGTTCCCTCACCTCCCTTCCTGCTACCCCTGTCATTTGAAAAATCTCTGTTGAGTGCAACTGTCATTGATTCAAGCTCCACTATCTTCACATTAGTGGAAATACAAATAGTGCATAACTACTTCCTCAGAACTATACAGTGAAAAACAACACTTAGGCTTCCCCCACCCCACCACGTTGTGTGGTAGCTTACATACAGCTGATGGTTTTGGAAATGTAAGAGCATAATGAGGGAACAAGGCTGGGAGATATTTTCATTAATGTTTTCTGTTAAAAATTCACTGTGCATTTTCCCCTATATTAAAAGCCCATCTGTTTTGTATTATGAACTTCATGTTAGCCTGTTCATATTGTACTTCATGTCATTTTCTTGGAGGATGAACAATCTGTGAGGTAAGATTTTAACATCTCTGTAAATAACATTGCATAACATGTACTTCCAACTCAGTTTCAAATTTAGGTTTGGTAGGGGTTTGTTTTGGTTTTTTTGAGCACTTATGCAGTGATCTCACACTGACAAGCTGTTTTACAGACAGGTTGTTCTGCTCAATAAACCCTTTCCCAATCTAGATACTATGAAAATTGAAATATCATTAATTGAATATCTCACATCTTGCTTAAGCATGGTGGCTCACGCAATGGGTGGGCAGGGGGGTAAGAGAACATTCATACCATCTAGTTTAGGCATATAAGTTGTGTGAATTGGAGGACCAAAGTTAAAAGCCTAAGTTTGCTATATTGTCAATGGAAAGAGGTAGGTGCCTCTAGGAGGGCGATTCAGAGCACCCAAAATGGGCATTCAGATGCCAGAAATAAACGGTGTGCCTATCTCCTGAAAGAGAACAAAGTACAGTAACAAAAGCTCTGCAAGGTAGATGGGAAACGGGCTACATTTATGTTCTAGTAAGGCTTAATGTTTTGCGTCATCTAATGCCCTTCAATACATTGGTTATGGAAAGGTCTTGAAAGATTAAGGGCAGAGATGGCCAGTTCTCTTCCGTGAATATGATTTCCTTTAGTTACCATCCAATGAACTATAATTCAAAATGTTAAGGATATTTATGTATGAAGAACTGCAAAGCGCTTTGTACTCAAGTTTCCTTTGTAGCAGATGAGAGTGTTTTAGGAAGTTCTGCAGATGGAGGCAAAACTCTCGAACCTAACTCCAATTACAGCATTTCTAAGGGCCATATACACACACACATACACACTCAACACACACACACACACCCCAGCACCCCTGTTTTCACTCATTTAAACACAAGGAACTACACTGTTACTGCACAAGATTGAAAAACTAATAAACGCATGGTGTTACTTAGACTACAGGCTCAGTGACTCTGTATTTTTATGGCCAATTTTACCCATAAAAGAACCAGCTCAAGACAATCTCTCCAGCATTTAAAATCTAAACATTGTGATTGAAAACGTTTCTATACTTTGATTGTAAGACTTCGGAATAGGTATTTCTGTGCCATTAGTCATGCAAATGATAAATACTTCACTGCTATGAAACTAGCAAGTCAGAGCTCGAGCATCCTTTCAAAATAAAATATTTGCTCCCACCACTTAACACACCAATAATTGGGGCAACCTTTGAATAGTGTGTCAGGCAATTAAAGAGCCATTTCCACACTCACCTAAGGAATTACAACTGTAACTATGTCACCTCTGAACCAAAAGATTTCACATGGTTATTCAATTTAAGTTTTCATCCTTAAAGCTATCAAATAGCAAACTTGATTTTCAAAGCTTAGTTGGGGATCACACCAGAGAATGTAGCCCTTGAAGGCAAGAAAAACTGTTATCTTTAACAAACTTAAAAATGCAGGATGTTGATACTGTCCCACGAGGTTTCTGCAGAAGGGAACATATGGATGCAACATGGCTTAATTTTCCTTACAAGATGGTACTAGTTATTCTATTAAAGTGTTCCTTGTTAGTAAGGCTCAGCAATTTTTTTTCATCACAGTTGCTTCCTCCTGGTTCAGTAAAGTGATAAATAAAGATGCTTCCTGCTTTGTAAACAGAGGGTTTGTTTGGCTTTTTGCAGACCAAAACCTGAAGCGATCCTCCATTTTTGAGCAGCAAAATGAAAGATTTAAAACATTCCAATGCCAGACTGTTTCTTCACCCGTCATTTGTTTTCGGATCTTGCCTCTCATTTCACACACTGATTCAATGTTTTCTATTTCAAGATGTGGGATAAAGTGTAGAAATAATAGCATTGATTTTGAAAACAATCCAAACTATATAGGTCTCTGGTAGCCTCTTAACACTGTCAGAAGTTCTGGTGAAATCAACATATTTGACTGAACAAACTTGGCCACAAGTGACAGCACATGTCCTGAAGCATGGTGATGAGACGCTGAAAGACTTGTCTCTCCTTCCACGCTTATACTAGTTGGGAATGGTCTTCAGAGATATTCTCTTCACTGTTTCTGTTCCAGAAGTTTTCCAGCTTCTTCAAAAATAGCTGCTGTCTGACATGGCAACACATGTACTTTTGACCGGAATGACCCTGTAGATCAACTGGCTGTGCCATAAAATTGCAGGTGCTCAAAGGGAAAAACGGGTGAGATGTGGTCATTTAACCCAATTATATTCAGAGTCAGTGATTGACTTCCAATGCTCAGCTCTGAGTTAATGTTGCTACTTCACTACAGATGTATTTCAAGTGACCCACAAACCAGGAAGTGAAGTAGGCAGTTTTACCACCTTACAAAATTTCTGCAAATTAAGTCCAGGTTAGGTCATTTTTAATGCTATTGTATATTACATGCAGAACAGCATGGATCATCTTTGTCTGGCTGTGCTGCATAGTTCATTTGTCTAACGATTTCTGCAAAGAGCTCATCCACCATTGTTTTACTTTTAGCAGAGGTCTCCATAAAGGGGCAGCCCCATTCTTCAGCTAAGGCTCTGCCTTCACTCAGTGATACTTCTCTCTCACTTTCCAGGTCCACTTTATTACCAACCAGAATTACTGGCACCTTCTCATACCTAGAGTTCAAAAACAAGAACACAAGAACAACAGCAATAATTATATTTTTAAAATGGCAATATTTTAAATGTAAACATCCATTTGCAAATAGTACAGACGCAACAGGAAAGAGACATTTGGATAATCTGAAAACTTCACGTTGAAAACATACTTTGTATATGTAACAGTCCGGCAATTTGTGCACATCTCTTTTTTCCCCCCAGAGATTTGTTAAAGTTCTAAGCAATGCTCCCTCCTCTGAATTTTCTTCCGTAACAGAAAATCTGCCAGGAATGCTTCCCCACTACAAAATCCAAGGACTCTAGTAATATTTTCCATGTTTGCAACCTCAGGGTCTAAGAACAAGATGGACGTCCAGCTCTCCCTTTAACATTACATCCTCCTCCCTGAACAGGTATCATGCCGTATTTCCTGCTTGTGTGAAGGATACACCATTGTCCCATTCAAGGGTAATATGTTTAATATATTTGGAACTCTCACATTAGCAACAAAAGGGAAAAAAAAACAAAGGGCCAGTAAATTAATTTGAAATTTCAGGAAACATAGCTTGCTTCCAAGTACTGTATATGCGACAGCATTGTTATATAAAAGTATGTATAAGCTAACACACAACACACAATTGACCCTAGCTGATACAGAATACACAACTGTCCATTGTAGCGTTCACATCATTATGCCAGTTAAATAATCTGGAGAAAAAAAAAAAAAAAAAGAAATGTTCCAGGCAGTATTATCACATTTCTTCATAATCAACTTGACAGCACAGTAGATCACATAAGCTATGAGAGAATTTATTACTTTGCACCTCCTTGTGAGGGGATCCTTGCCAATTTTTTTTTTGAAGTTAAAATGCTTGCCTTCCTTTCCTGCCACCCCATCCTAACAAGCATAAACCCTTCTTCAGACATGGAACTGAAGTGTTCAGTCAGGTTTTAAATTTACATATTTGCCATAGCAAAGAAGAAAACACTGGGCCTACTTCCAAAACACTCTTACACGGGTTTTCTCATGAAAGCAACAAGGACCGACAAAAAAACCTGATTATGGCTTTTAGCACTTAAACTAAACTAAGATCTAAGAGAAACAAGATGGTTCACTCTCCATTTAAACCTCATTTTCTACTTCATATTAACTTACTAGTACTGCTTTGAGTCAAATCAGTTAAGACGAAGCTGTGGACAGACAACAGTCATTGCTGACAACTGCAGCAGTTGGAGATGTCACTGTCCTTAAGCCTTCATTACTCCTTCACCCCTACACCCACCCTCCCTGACTTCCAGGCAGGGCAGCAGAGCAGAGCTGATGCATGTGCCTCAGCTGGTTGAAGGAAACATCCAGCAGCTTGCCACAACCTACCAGGCACGATAAAACTCAGCTGTGGAGTTTCCCTGCACTGGAACAGAGAACCTACATGTTCGCATCTGCTCCTCTGCAAGGAGAGTGGGATCCCTCAGAGTCAGAAAGGATAAAAGAGCAGTAACTTCTCAGACTACCTCAGCAACTCTTACACCACCACAGCAGTATAAAAAGTTGGTCCAACCATGTCATAAGAGGAACCTGAAATTTTAAACTTCATTATGTCTCTTCGATAACTATGAGAATGTCATTTAATCCACAGTCCAGGGCTGTGGTCAATAACTGTAGAGAATTCCCCTCTCTCTCGCTATTTATCCTATCCTTGTTTACCAACTGAAGAGACACAATACATTTCTTACTCTGTGGATACACAGTATTTAGCACAATGATTCCTTTGGAACTCTTGCAAGAGCTAAGCTGCCATTAAGTACTAAAATACACACAAGCATCTTGAAGTCTGTCCTCCCGCATTTCAACACACGATAGCATAGTTTTTAATTACATAAGATGGATGGCATTCAAGAGATAAGACAGCAATCCACTATTTCTTTTTATCTTTGCTGTTCAGATGCATGTGTCCTATTGTATTTGCTGTACAGCATTAAAAAACCTTCAATGAAAGTGCAGTCAGGTACACCTTTCCTGCATCAGGTTAAGAAAGCTAAAGCCCTGGTAGAATTAAATCTGGCCAAGGACATCAAGGGCAACAAGAAAAACTTCCACAGGTGCATTGGTGAAAAAAAGCAAGATAAAGGGAAACTGTGGGTCCTCTCTGGAAGGAAACAGGAGATCTGGCTATCTGGGATACAGAGATGGCTGAGGTACTCAGTGACTTTTTTGCCTTCATCTTCACCAGCAAGTGCTCCACCAGTCATAATGCCTAAGCCACAGAAAGAAAGACAGGGACTGGAAGAATGAACTACCCACTGTAGGATAAGATCAAGCTCGAGAACATCTAAGGAACCAAAAGTTCATGGGACCTGATGAGATGCATCTGCAGGTCCTGATGGAACTGGTAGATGAAGTAGCTTAGCTACTATCCATCCTATTTGAGGAATGATGGCAGTCCAGTGAAGTTTGCCAATGACACCAAGCTGTGTGGTTCGGTTGATAGGCTGGAGGGAAGGAATGCCATCCAGAGGGCCCTCGACATGCTTGTGAGGTGGGCTGATGCCAACCTCATGAAGTTTAACCATGCCAAGTGCAAGGTCCTACACCTGGGTCAGAGCAATCCCAGGCACAGCTACAGGTTGGGCAGAGAAGAGATTCAGAGCAGCCCTGTGGAGAAGGACTTGGGGGTGCTGCTCGATGAGAAACTGAACATGAGCCAGCTTCAGTGTGCGCTGGCAGCCCAGAAAGCCAACCGTATCCTGGGCTGCATCAAAAGGAGCATGACCAGCAGGTCGAAGGAGGTGATCCTACCCCTCTACTCTGCTCTTGTGAGAACTCACCTGGAGTATTGTGTGCAGTTCTGGTGTCCTCAGCATAAAAAGGACATGGAACTGTTGGAACAAGTGCAGAGGAGGGTCACGAGGGTGATCAGGGGACTGGAGCACCTCCCGTATGAAGATAGGCTGAGAAAGTTGGGGCTGTTCAGCCTGGAGAAGAGAAGACTGCATGGAGACCTCATATCAGCCTTCCAGTATCTGAAGGGGGCCTACAAGGATGCTGGGGAGGGACTCTTCATTAGGGACTGTAGTGACAGGACAAGGGGTAATGGGTTCAAGCAGGGGAAGTTCAGACTGGATATAAGGAGGAAGTTCTTTACTGTTAGGGTGGTGAGGCACTGGAATGGGTTGCCCAGTGAGGTTGTGAATGCTCCATCCCTGGCAGTGTTCAAGACCAGGTTGGACAAAGCCTTGGGTGAGATGGTTTAGTGTGAGGTGTCCCTGCCCACGGCAGGGCGGTTGGAACTAGATGATCTTAAGGTCCTTTCCAACCCTAACTATTCTATGATTTTAAGTTCTCACAGACTGGAAAAGGGGAAACATAAAGGGAGGAATTCACACTTGTTGCAGATTTATAGCTAGTTCCACTGAACTATTCAGGTGCTTTAAAAGGTTTAGGAACCCTAGGAAAGCTGAGCAACTTAATGTCAGAAGATATTATGAGTACTCAGCAGCTGGGAAATGGAGCTATTAAAATAGTGAAATTTCATACAGTAGAACAAAAAGAAGAACTGATAAGGATAGATGTGAAAAGTCTAATTTAATTTATTTGCACAGGACCACCTAGGAACTATTAGGTAGGGCAGATAGAAGCATTCTTCCGTATTAAATTTTCTTGCTTTTGCCTCTTGCATTTACCTTATTCCCTATCTAACTTGATCACCTAAAATGAGATGAGAATCCTACAGTCAATACATCCATCTTACAATCCAGATTTTTCCAATAACCACTTAACACCAGATTTTTTAAGAAAATATTTCTGCAAAACTTTTATGATGTCAAGTATCTGATATTTTGATATTTTCCAGCCTATCAAGGTCCCCCTGAATGTCAGTTGAATAATAAACTTCACATAAAACCCACTTTTTATACATGTAGATTGTGTGTGAGAAATATTTTTGATTTTAATATAAAAGTATATATACTTATGCTTGCATAATATGCGTATAATATGCACAGAAACTGTCTATAATATATACACACACATACACAGTCATGCATTTTGTCTTTTCATATAGAAAAGTCAGTATCCATTATCCAGAATAATGGAGGTTGAAATATGGCAAATAATGGGAAAGCAGTCCATGGATACTGAGCAGATGACTGGCTTCAGTACAGGCTTATGAGCTCCAGCTCAATATCAGTCCTGACAGACCCAAGCGAGTAGGGGAGAGTCAGACCATGCACCTGGGTATTTTGTTCTCCAAATACCAAGATGATGATTCATTGACTGCATGTTGAACAGTGCCACACACGAACTAAAAAGTCTTTACATAAACTATATGGTTACATGTAGTGGCTCCAGCCCCTGCTTGCCTTCTTCGTTCAGAATCCTTAAGCGTCTCCACACTGTACTTCACAGCTTTTCAGTTCTGGTAATACACTGTGGAAACCCCAGCTTTCAACTAAATCAAGCTCTACAAGTTCTGAAGTCCAAGCTGGCTCTCTACCCTTTACATCCCAACACTGCCAGAATATCTTGCTTCAGTTGGTATCCTGGGCAAATTTATCTGATGAGTACAAGAGAGATCCCTGGCTCAACGTGCTCCCTACCACACTTGCTGATCTTGATGGAGGGAACTTTTGCCTGCTCCTGGAGGCTCCACTTGCTATTTGCAGAGCTTTGGATTGGCCAGATGCTGGCACACCCACCACCGAGGTGGTGTGCGGCAGCACAGGCCTGCAGGGGGAAAGGGTGATTTTTCAGATGTGGAATTAGAAGATTCTAATGAAATCTGAAGGGTAGAAGGCTTTTCACCCTGTTGAATTTCAGTGACCCAAGAAGAAAACAATTTCTTTACAAAGGAAAAGAGCCATCTTGCAATGCCCAATCAGCAGTGAAAAACCCTTCCACGCAACCACAAGAAAATCGAATCCAGGAATTCATAAATCCCTCCGAAAACTTCAAGTAGGAGCTAACCTGCACACAAATACTTTTAGCCGAGCACAAGAGAATAAGACCACACCACCCATAC